TCGCAAGACCGAATGGCTCTTATGTGGCGCGCACGCCTCTAGTGTGACAGCCGCGCGGTTCCCTCTCGTTTCGTACGCGCAGCGGAATCGTCGCGCTTAAAGGCATCTACTCCACGGATACGACTTGCAAGAGTTGCTTCTTCCCGCTCGCTTTGTACGCCGTAGCGAAATCTTATTGCTGGTCGTGTGCGGTTAAACGCGTACGAACCAGACAGAACAGTCCTCGACGTCTAAGCATCGCCATCGTCGATCTAGCGTCAGGGTGAATCGCGCGGTCTCTCGAGACCGCGCATCATAACATTTGGGAGAATAAGAACACGAGTATTTTGATCTTGTGGATTTTTGAACGGAGAGGAGGAGGAAGAAGAGAGGCGGCGGCGTCGGGGGTTTACTCTCGCCTCCGTCGTTCTCTCGTACGCTTTACATAATAGCGTTAAACACAGCAGAGTGTCGCCGACCGGCTGAGCAAGACCGGCGGCAAATAAAATGGCACATACGAGCGTGTCGCGCGCGCGTCGGTGTTTCGGCATCGAACGCGCGCGCGCGCGAAAAAGAGCTAGCGACGAGTCTTCGGGCTCGCTCGCGAGTTACTCCCTTGCGAGTAACCGAACACGAAGCTCCCTGGTTGATCCTGCCAGTAGTCATATGCTTGTCTCAAAGATTAAGCCATGCATGTCTCAGTGCATGCCGAATTAAGGTGAAACCGCGAATGGCTCATTAAATCAGTTATGGTTCATTAGATTGTACCCACATTTACTTGGATAACTGTGGTAATTCTAGAGCTAATACATGCAAAACAGAGTCCCGACCAGTGATGGAAGGGACGCTTTTATTAGATCAAAACCAATCGGTGGCGGGCGGCTCGCCGTTCGTCCACCGTTTATTTTGGTGACTCTGAATAACTTTGTGCTGATCGCACGGTCCTAGCACCGGCGACGCATCTTTCAAATGTCTGCCTTATCAACTGTCGATGGTAGGTTCTGCGCCTACCATGGTTGTAACGGGTAACGGGGAATCAGGGTTCGATTCCGGAGAGGGAGCCTGAGAAACGGCTACCACATCCAAGGAAGGCAGCAGGCGCGCAAATTACCCACTCCCGGCACGGGGAGGTAGTGACGAAAAATAACGATACGGGACTCATCCGAGGCCCCGTAATCGGAATGAGTACACTTTAAATCCTTTAACGAGGATCCATTGGAGGGCAAGTCTGGTGCCAGCAGCCGCGGTAATTCCAGCTCCAATAGCGTATATTAAAGTTGTTGCGGTTAAAAAGCTCGTAGTTGAATCTGTGTCGCACACCGTCGGTTCACCGCTCGCGGTGTTTAACTGGCGTGATGTGGGACGTCCTACCGGTGGGCTTAGCCTCGCGAGGGGCGGCCCAACTAATATCCCGTCGCGGTGCTCTTTACTGAGTGTCGAGTCGGGCCGGTACGTTTACTTTGAACAAATTAGAGTGCTTAAAGCAGGCTACCTTCGCCTGAATACTGCGTGCATGGAATAATGGAATAGGACCTCGGTTCTATTTTGTTGGTTTTCGGAACCCCGAGGTAATGATTAATAGGGACAGATGGGGGCATTCGTATTGCGACGTTAGAGGTGAAATTCTTGGATCGTCGCAAGACGGACAGAAGCGAAAGCATTTGCCAAAAATGTTTTCATTAATCAAGAACGAAAGTTAGAGGTTCGAAGGCGATCAGATACCGCCCTAGTTCTAACCATAAACGATGCCAGCTAGCGATCCGCCGAAGTTCCTCCGATGACTCGGCGGGCAGCTTCCGGGAAACCAAAGCTTTTGGGTTCCGGGGGAAATATGGTTGCAAAGCTGAAACTTAAAGGAATTGACGGAAGGGCACCACCAGGAGTGGAGCCTGCGGCTTAATTTGACTCAACACGGGAAACCTCACCAGGCCCAGACACCGGAAGGATTGACAGATTGATAGCTCTTTCTTGATTCGGTGGGTGGTGGTGCATGGCCGTTCTTAGTTGGTGGAGCGATTTGTCTGGTTAATTCCGATAACGAACGAGACTCTAGCCTGCTAAATAGGCGTACCCTATGGTATCGCGGAACTTTTGAAAGAAAATCTGCCCGATTTTTTAGAAGAAGTGCCACTATTTGAAAGAAATAAAATGTTCTTTCAACAAGACGGTGCTTGACCACACAACGCCAGGATTGTAACAAACTACTTGAACGAGCAGTGTTCGAGATTCGAACGGTAATAACCCGCGGACAAGAAAGCGTTAAAATATTCATGCATCTCGATCATGCCTCATGCAGCATGCATATAATTTATTAATTAATATCGTGGTCTAACATGCGTATTTTAAATTATATTTAAATTAGCGCTCGGCCGCGAGAGTATACGGATACTCCGCGCCTTCGAAAATAAGCGCTTAAAACAGTCTAAATTGTAAACACCGCTGTCGCGCGAGAGGAGAGAAAAACAAGTAAATAATTACAGTAAACGTTCCTTCACCCTTAATATCACAATAGAACGACAGCAAATGTACTCGAATATTCTAGAATTACAAGGCGTATATAAGCCTCCTCTCTCGCGACCGCGGCGCTTTTTCCGATTGCTCATCGCGAATAAAGTGTGTTCATACGATAAAGATTGCTTGTCTTTGTCTAATTCATTACCGTTGCTTGCGGACACTTAGTAATTTACGACTCGGCTAATTCTCTCGGTAAATTCGGTGCGGTATATTAATTGTAATTTTTGTTAATAGTTTATATAAATATATTTTTTTTGTGAACGTTACGCGTGTGTCGAGTGTTGTGTCTATTTCTCGGTCTCGCTTCCGACCACGTCCTATCCATCTTTCCGTCGCGCACATTTTTTGGTCCTTCGAGCCGGATTCCTCCGGAACCTCCTGTGAATCCGGTGCCACGGAAGCGATTGTGATTGAGTGTCGGTGACCAGTGCTTCTGGAACAGAGAAACATTGTTAGAAATGACAGACACGAAGGCGATCATTGCCACCGCCACGGTGCTGTACGGCAAGATCTCGCGCGCGTTCGAGAACCTGCGGAAGCTCGGCGAGGCCAATATGACCCTCGGCGCGGTGGAGGCCCGGCTTCAAAATCTCGAGAAGCTATGGGATAAATTCGACGCTCTTAATGATACGTTAGCCGATCGGGTTGACGAAATAAAGCATGAGGTCTACGCTAAACAGGACATCCCGTCCTTAGGCGAGGAAGCTTACCTGCTGAACAAGGGCCTCATGCTCGATCTGAAGAACGCTCTCCAGCTGCAGCTACAGGCTGCCAGCTCTACCGCGGCCGCGACAACTAGTCCCGCTCCTCGGACAGCGCTGCCAAAAATCCAACCGCCTACCTTCGCCGGGAAATACGAGGATTGGCCTTCATTCCGGGATCTGTTCCAATCCCTCATCGGCCGGAATCAGGCAGCAAAACCTGTGGAGAAGTTACACTACTTAAAACTTTGTGTGAAGGGTGACGCCGATCTGCTGATTCGTAACCTCAGCACCACAGAAGACAACTATGAAATCGCCTGGAAAACTCTAAGCGATTATTACGAGAACAAAAGATTGCTGACTCGTAATTATCTGAATAATTTCTTAGCGTTGACCAAGATGAAAAGCGAATCCGCCGCTGAATTGAGGAGGCTTTTCCATGGAGTAAAAACAACTGTCAGCTCCCTGAAGAGCATAGACCGACCGATAGACCGCACGGAGGATCTCTTCGTCCACCTCGTCGTAGAGCTCCTCGACAGCCGCTCTAGGCGAGAATGGGAGAGTGATATAAGTCACACCACGAGTCCGCCAAGCTACGCCTCGCTTGAGGCCTTCATAGAACGTCGGCTCCATACGTTGGAGGCGCTGTTTCCGGCCAGGAACGACAGCAGCAGCTCCAGCACTACGAAATCAACGAGGAGCCACCACGTCAAAGGCCAAGATCCAAAAGAGAAGTCCAGAAGCCGGTGCTCCATCTGCCAGGGGGACCACTTTGTTATGTTCTGCGGCGACTATAAGGATAAGACGGCGATGGCGCGTAAGCAGCTCGTCCGTGAGCATAAGCTCTGCTCAAACTGCCTTGGCCGGCATCAATCTTCCGAGTGCTCTTCGAAGAAGACGTGTACAGCGTGTGGCAGTCGACATCACTCCTCGCTTCACGATGCATTCCGGGAAGCCGAGGCCGCCACGACGTCTCACGTGGCTCAAGGCGCAGACTCTTCCTCCGCAACGGTGCTGCTCGCTACGGCTAGGGTCCGCGTCCTCGACTGCCACGGAAGCTGGCAGTCCGCTCGCGCTCTGATCGACCAGGGCTCCGAATCCTCCATCATTTCGGAGCGATTAGCGCAGCGCTTACGACTCCCTAGAAGAGCAGCCGCCGTTAGTGTCTATGGAGTCGGAGAGAAAAGGACCGGAGTGACAAAGGGGAAGGTGAGACTCACCCTGCAGTCGCGCAGAGGGGAATCGCCCACCTTCGTCAACGCTTTGGTGCTGCCGAAGTTGACGCTGTTTTCCGGAGGATGCCGCAGCAGTAGACGAACCTGGACCCATCTGGAGGACCTGGAGCTCGCCGATCCGGAATTCTGCTCCTCGGACCCCGTCGACATCCTACTGGGAGCCGACGTATATGGGACCATCATCCGTCAGGGTCTACGAAAAGGAGGTTCTAAGGATCCAGTAGCTCAACAAACCTCGTTGGGCTGGATTCTCTCAGGTACAGTTAGCTCGACGGCGCCCAGCCAACACATCTCCGCTCATCACTGCCAAATCGAGGAGGACATCACCTGCTTGGTGCGGCGGTTCTGGGAGCAGGAGGAAGTCCACCGGCCATCTCCGACCCTCACCAAGGCGGAACTAGAGTGCGAGGAGCACTACCGCCGTCATCACTCGCGCTCTCCTGACGGCAGGTACATAGTGCGGCTGCCAACGATCGAGCCTCTCCCGGATCTGTCTGGGACTCGTCGCGCCGCCAGTCGTGCTCTGCAACAGACGGAGAAAAGGTTAGAGAAAGATGCCGACTTTAAGGACATGTACGTAGAGTTCATGCAAAAGTACAAGGAACTGCGACATATGATGCTTGCACCAGCGCCAGCTGAGCCACAACGAGGTACCTGTTACCTGCCGCATCACGGGGTCCTGCGTCCGGACAGCACTTCCACTAAGCTGAGGGTCGTGTTCAACGGCTCGAGCTCCTTGCCGAACGGGGACTCTCTCAACCAATTTCTTCTGACTGGACCGAATCTGCTTCCTGCGCTGGCTGACATCCTGCTGCGTTGGCGACGCCACAGATACGTCTTCGCTGCCGATATCGAAAAGATGTATCGGCAGATCCTAGTGCATCCGGACGATCGAAGCCTGCAGCGAATCCTGTGGAGAGACGACTCTAAGAACGACGTCCAGGAGTTCTGGCTATGCACGGTCACTTACGGGCTCTCATGCGCCCCGTATCTGGCCATCCGTACCTTACGCCAACTCGCCGAGGACGAAGAGCATCGCTTTCCGAAAGGCGCCGACATCCTGCGGAGCGATGTCTACATGGATGACATCCTGTCCGGTGCCAAGAATCAAGAGGAAGCAGAATCTATGGTGAGGCAGCTGACAAATATATGCACGGCGGGCGGGTTCACACTAAAAAAGTGGTCTACAAACGCCTCCTACCTGCTGAGCCTCGTGGAACCGGACGCGCGCCTGCAACAAGAGGCCAGATGGTGGCTGCCCGGCGAGAGTCATTCCACTCTCGGCCTTCGATGGCAACCGTGCGACGACCGCTTCGCCTTCGCCACCCACCGGATCACTCTCTCAGCGGTCACCAAAAGGTCGGTCCTTTCTTTGACGGCCAAATTATTCGATCCACTCGGCTGGCTGTCTCCAACGACTGTGCTGGCCAAAATCAACATCCAGGCTACCTGGCTACTAGGTCTCGACTGGGACGCGTCTCTGCCAAGCGAGGAAGCCAGAAAATGGCTGCGATTCCAGGAGGAGCTAGCGGCATTGGAGAAACTAGTCGTGCCTCGTTGGTTAGGAGCCCTAGCTGACTCCCATCAAGAGGTTCACGGATTTGCCGATGCCTCCGAACGTGCCTACGCCGCAGTCATCTACCTGCGAACAAACACAAACGGAGTTAGGAGAGTGACTTTATTAGCTGCGAAGACCAAGCTCGATTGGTCGCCCACGTCGTGCCTCTTATTGGCGCAGAAAAGGCGCCTCTCCATCTGTGGTCGGATTCCACCGTGACTCTCGGCTGGATCCGGGGCCACCCTTCGTCCTGGGTCACTTACGTCGCTAATCGGGTGAGTGAGATCCAGACGCTGACTCCGGACGCCCACTGGCACCACGTCCCCGGCCGAGAGAATCCCGCGGACTGCGCGTCACGAGGACTCTACCCCAGCGAGCTTGTGGACCATTCACTATGGTGGCAAGGTCCGTCGTGGCTGTCCTCCGAGAGCCAACCGTGGACGATCAACTGCGAGGAGCCACCAGAGGATGACCTCCCAGAGAGGCGCGTCCGCGCCCACGTCGCCGCCATCGCCGAACAAAGGACTGAGCCGGAGATGCTTCTTCGATACTCGTCGCTACAACGCCTGCTCCGGATCACTGCGTGGTGCCGTCGCTGGCTGCGGATCCATCGTCAGGACCACCTCGCGCATGGCCAGCCCGGCTTGAACAGCGCCGACGAGATCGAGGACTCCCGGATCTCCTGGTTAAAAATCATCCAGGCTGAAACATACAAAGAAGAACTGAGACACCTGAAGAATGGAAAGCCTCTGCCGACTCGAAGCTCCCTACTGAAGCTAAGTCCTTTTCTGGACAGTGAGGGACTCCTACGCGTCGGCGGGCGCCTTAAACACGCTGCACTGCAGTATGATGCCACGCATCCAACCATACTACCAAGCAGATCTAATTTTACTTGCCTCATCATCGACGACTACCACAAGCGGACGCTGCACGGCGGCACCCAGTTGACCTTGTGCTCTCTTCGCCAGGAGTATTGGGTCCCTCGAGGTCGCGCTCTAGTGAAGAGCCGCATCAGCCGGTGTCTAAGGTGCACCAGATGGCGGGCTGCCATCCCTCAGCCACTGATGGGGGACCTCCCGGCACCACGAGTTACTCCAGGCCGGCCGTTTCTGCATACCGGCGTAGACTACGCCGGACCGATTTGGATGCGAACAGCAGGGGGCCGCGGACTCAAGGCGACAAAAGGTTTTATTGTTGTCTTTATTTGTTTAGCTTCCCGAGCAGTCCACCTCGACGCGGCCTCGGACTACACCGCTGACGCCTTCCTTGCCGCCTTGCGTCGGTTCGTCGCCAGGCGAGGAGTCTGCCACTCGCTATATAGCGACTGCGGCACCAACTTCGTGGGTGCCGATAAGCAGCTTAGGCAACTATTCTCCGCCGCCAGTGCCGACGGACATCGCATCGCAACCTTCGCCGCCCAGGAAAGAATCCGGTGGCGGTTCAACCCGCCAGCTGCACCTAACTTCGGCGGTTTATGGGAAGCTGCCGTGAAAGCGATGAAGCACCACCTTCGGCGAGTCATCGGTGACGCCACCCTCACCTACGAGGAGATGACTACTCTCCTAGCCCAAATTGAGGCCTGCCTCAATTCCAGACCGCTGCAGCCGTTGTCTGACGATCCGGAGGATGTAGCCGCACTCACACCTGGTCACTTCCTGGTCGGCTCCGCTCTCTCGGCGATCCCCGAACCGTCGCTCGAACGAGAGCCGTCGGCACGTCTCTCACGGTGGCAGCTCCTGCAAAACATGAAGGACCATTTCTGGTCTCGGTGGGTCAGCGAATACTTACACACGCTGGCCCATCGGCCGAAATGGTCCCGAATTAATCAGGAGGCTCGCGTCGGTCGAATCTGCCTCGTGCGAAACGAAATAACACCACCAACACGGTGGCCGCTTGCGCGCATTACACGACTGCATCCAGGTTCCGACGGTAACGTTCGCGTAGTCGACGTCCGCACCTCGACCACAAATTTGACGCGTCCCGTGAACAAGTTAGTCTTTCTGACCGACGGCTCCGAAGACTCACTCGAATCGCAATCACGCGTCGTCCGCGTTTAAAAAATTTACACTTTTCTCTATTCCATATTCACATTCATTTATTTTTTTTCACTAAATTTTCATTATTCTCCTCACAATTGTACTTCACACTCACAGTCACTTGCACATCGCCAGCATACGGTCTACGCGACGCTTAACCTATACGCGTCTATACTGACTCCCAGTATAAACAGCTGATCGATTCAGCATTCCGTTCTCTAAATCAATCGGAGCACGTGCGCTCCACGTGTCCGTCACGCACGAGCGCGTGAATAGGCTCGTGCCCCACTCTCGCGCTGAGAACACGATTGCAGGTATATTACTGCAAGGCGGGCGGAATGTTCGAGATTCGAACGGTAATAACCCGCGGACAAGAAAGCGTTAAAATATTCATGCATCTCGATCATGCCTCATGCAGCATGCATATAATTTATTAATTAATATCGTGGTCTAACATGCGTATTTTAAATTATATTTAAATTAGCGCTCGGCCGCGAGAGTATACGGATACTCCGCGCCTTCGAAAATAAGCGCTTAAAACAGTCTAAATTGTAAACACCGCTGTCGCGCGAGAGGAGAGAAAAACAAGTAAATAATTACAGTAAACGTTCCTTCGCCCTTAATATCACAATAGAACGACAGCAAATGTACTCGAATATTCTAGAATTACAAGGCGTATATAAGCCTCCTCTCTCGCGACCGCGGCGCTTTTTCCGATTGCTCATCGCGAATAAAGTGTGTTCATACGATAAAGATTGCTTGTCTTTGTCTAATTCATTACCGTTGCTTGCGGACACTTAGTAATTTACGACTCGGCTAATTCTCTCGGTAAATTCGGTGCGGTATATTAATTGTAATTTTTGTTAATAGTTTATATAAATATATTTTTTTTGTGAACGTTACGCGTGTGTCGAGTGTTGTGTCTATTTCTCGGTCTCGCTTCCGACCACGTCCTATCCATCTTTCCGTCGCGCACAAGCAGTTTCCTGGACGTTGGATGGGTCGGTATGGCCCGATACGTTGGCCCGCAAGATCCCCGGACCTTAATTCTCTTGATTTCTTTTTATGGGGATACTGTAAGGAATCAATATACAAAACGCTTCCCGAGAACGTCGACGACTTAGAAACCAGATTGCGATATGTAATTTGGAATATCGAAGAGGAAGTAATGGAGAACGTCCAATTAAATTTATTTAAACGCATGCGAGCTTGCATAAGGATGGATGGTGGTCATTTTGAGCACCTATTATAAATTAATCCGCTCTTTTCAGAGCGACCAAAGTCAATCCGCTCTTTTCAGAGCGACCAAAGTCAATCCGCTCTTTTCAGAGCGACCAATACATTTATACATGGAACATCTTGTTCGCAAAACATAATCATTTTTCTCACGTCTCGCTTAAAAAGAAAGGGCAAAACGGGCGGATAATGTTAAGTCATTAAAAAAAATGTATTATAACGTAAAAAATTATAATACGTTATAATATGCCTTTTTTAATAACATAATTATTATACGTTTTAATACATGTCTCGCGTCAATCACATGTTCGGCAACGCCGCGTGATTGTTATCGTCTAGACGTGTCGCGAAGCGTCGCGACGCGTTGCGTCATCCGTCGCCGCAGTCTGTTGTCGTGTCCTTGCCGTGTAAACAATTGTCGTCCGCATCGAGTAACGTGTGCCTTTTTACAAGTAATTTTTAATAATTAATCGGTACACTGAGAGAATTTTCTCTTAAAATTTACCCTAAAAGTTATGGTAATTGTGAGACAATACGGTATGAAAAGAATTTTATTAAAATTTCTCTGATTAATATTTATCACATTAAAAATAATATCTATCACAATAAAATATGAAATATGTGTGATTAATTTTACTAAACTGTATAGTAAAATTAATCAAACATATTTTATATTTTCTTGTGATACATATTATTATTTTTAATATAATAAATAGTAGAGAAATTCTAATAAAATTCTTTCCACATTGTTGAAGATTCGTTCTTCGGATCGAATCCTCGAGGACGATCGAATTTTCTAGAATGTTTTTTTGTTAAATTCCTTAGTGTTTACGCCAAGGAAACACGTGAAACCAACGTGTACACTCGCCGCTAATTGGCGTGTGTACATCGCCTGATTTTCTGATGGTCCAATCGAGGACCCCGATCGGCTGCCGCCCTACGCGAGCTCCGAAATTCGCGCAGCCCTCGAGTCAGTCCTCGAGAGAGCGAGCGCCGAGAAACATAAGTCTCGGTACGCGACGAACTTGTAGAAAGTGAATAAACTAATTTATAAGAGTTTTAACAAGGCTCTGTAATATAAATATAAATTTAACGTATAAGACGGGCAACAAGAGCCAAATCGCGGATGACAATGCGTTATCCTAACGAAACTAAATAATTTTCCGTTAGAATTAAATACCGGTGCACAAGGCACCAAATTTTACTTGGACACGGCCAAGATTTTAAAATATAAAATAATCTCATATTTGAGATTTAATTTCAATACCCCCCTTTTTTTTTAACCCCCCTACGGAAATTAAATAAATGAATGCAAGAGAAACATATAGATCCGAAAATCGGGGATTCCCGATTCAGCGATTTTCGGATCTATATTTTTCTCTTGCATTCATTTATTTAATTTCCGTAGGGGGGTTAAAAAAAAAAAAAAAAAAAAAGGGGGTATTGAAATTAAATCTCAAATATGAGATTATTTCATATTTTAAAATCTTGGCCGTGTCCAAGTAAAATTTGGTGCCTTGTGCACCGGTATTTAATTCTAACGGAAAATTATTTAGTTTCGTTAGGATAACGCATTGTCATCCGCGATTTGGCTCTTGTTGCCCGTCTTATACGTTAAACTAATTTAAACCGTTTCAAAACGCGTACAATCATTTGATCACGTTAACCCGGCATCCTACAACGTTAAATCTTATACATATAAAATGGTCCTTCGAGCCGGATTTTAAAAACCGATCGAGTGATAGTGAAATCGCGAAAAGAACGGGCTCCTTTGTTTCGTACCTTATTCGAACGATTGACAATTTCTGCCTCGTGTGCCTATATCGGGGCAGTAAAGTTAAAAACGCAGTGATCCGCGGCACGAGAAATCCGCTAATTACGCGTTCTCGTTTGGAGTAGAAAGACTCCGTGTGCGGGAGTGAGACCGCGCTACACAACAATTAGCCGTCGCGCGCGCTCCGAAACAGTCTCTCTCTCTCTCTCTCTCTCTCTCTCTCTCTCGTCGTTCTCTCTCGAAGACGCGAAGAGCGAGAGAGACGGATCACCGTCGCGCGCGTTCCGAAGATCTCTCTCTCTCTCTCTCTCTCTCTCGCGCTCTCTCCAAGACGCGAAGAGCGAGAGAGACGGTATCACGCCGCGCGCTCCGAAGCTCTCTCTCTCGCTCTCTCTCTCTCTCTAGCTGCGGCTCTCTCGATCGCGCGCCTGCCGTCGCTCCGGCCTAAGCCGCGGCGCTCCGGCCACGTGACGGTCACGCACCCTCACGTATCCGGTGTACATCGAATTCTGCATTTGAGTAGTCAGAATTTCGTTGAAGTGTCACTTGCAGTGCAAGCGCCGCTATCACGCGCTTTGCAATTTTGCATTCGGACGGCAGTTAAACGCCGTTCGAGATTAATGACTTCACGCGTACTCCGCTATCACGCACCAGTGATTTTCTTAATTGAGTGCGGTGAACATTCGCGAGTTATCCGCAAGCGCCGCAAGCACGCGCTTTGCGTTACGATAATCGCAGTGACTCTCAATGATTAATCGTGACTTATATTGATTAACAGTGACTCTCAGTGAGCGTGCGCCGCTATCACGCGCACCGCACCGGTGAATCTTAACCAGTGCATTTTTTTCTCACTGACTTTTGACTCTCGCAGACCACAGTGCAAACGACAGCGCACGCCGCTATCACGCGTACGCGTCGTGCATCTCTCTGTGACTCTCTCGACACAGATTAATAGACAGATCGCCAAAGGCCTGCCTAAAGAAGAGACCGCCATCTTCGTGCGATAGACTTTGCCCCTTACCGACACACTTTGCCCCTGGTTCGAATCCGTGCTAAATTTCGTAGACTTGAACCAAAAGACTTTGCCCCTGGTTCGAGTCCGTGCTAAATTTCGTAGACTCGACCAAAAGACTTTGCCCCTGGTGCAAGTCCAGGCTAAATTCGTTTGACATTACCAACAGACTTTGCTCCTGGTGCGAATCCAGGCTAATTGATCATGAGACCAATTTGAGAGATTTGGCCCCCGTTGTGTGTGTGTGTGTGTGTGTGTGAGAGAGAGAGAGAGAGAGAGAGAGAGAGAGAGAGAGAAAGAGAATATTTTACATATGCATATATATATATATATAAAATTTATTAAATATAAAAAATATATTTTTTACACATAAAATGTTTTTTTATTGAAATAATCACAATTTTAAATGTGATATAACACAGTGTTCAAAAATTTTTAATTAAATTTTATTAAAGAAAATTACTTGAAATTTTTTACATTAAGAATTTAAAGGCTCCTTATTCTCTTGTAGAAATTTATCACTATGCCAATTAATCACTTATTTCGAGTATTTAAAATACTATAATATACAGTAATTTAAGTATTCGAAATAAAAGTGATTAATTACTCGAAATAAAATTGATAAATTGGCGTTACTAGTAATAAATTTCTATAAGGGTTGAAATAAAGTATAAGAGATAAATAGGCTATATGTGAGCCGTATGCGAAAT